TTATGTTAGGACACAAACAGACCACAGTATCACCTGTCACCTGCTGCATTAAGTCAACTCTGATCCCAGTGTTGGATGAATTCATTTACTTTAGTGTAACAGTAATTTCAAAACATACTATATATATTTATCATGAGTGAAAATATCTACATCCATCTTTTCTCACACTGTCTCCATGAATCAAACTCTGATGCTGTCTGCCCTAAAGGGACATACATCCATATTTGAATTTTGCTCTTTTGTGAGTACATGTTGAGTATGTTGAGTTTTTTTTGTTTTCTCAGGATCTGGATTTGTATTTATCATATCTCAGGATAACATCACTGGTATTCATGTTATAAAACTTTGCAAACTAGATTTGTTTATAACTTCTCTTAGATGTTTTATTTGTAAATTTGTGTTTTTTGTTTTATGTGCCTAAATGTTCTTATGTCAAGTGTTTTATATAATGTCTTACTGAATTAATAAAGTATTTATAATTCTGATTGTAGCTGCTGTAACATTGTCATTTCCTTTAAAGTTGCCTTAAGCTTTTCGGGGTTGATTAAATGTCATCATCGCTGAAATGAAAACGGCAGAAACAGCTGCTGCCGTGAAGAATTAGGAATTTTGCGCCCTCGACTAATCGCAGTAACCCAGTAAACTCACAATCCATCATCCAATGGAGAGACATGTAAAATTAAATTAAGATGAGTTTGCCTGTCATTTCATGAATAATGGACACTACAGCAATATCTACAACTTGAATTCTCCACGGTTGAACTAAAATGTAGATGGCTTCTTTCAACAGGAGCACTAGAGACCGGGAAGTTCTTCTTCTCCGCTCTGAGAACAACACAGCGTGAGAAGGATCTATTGTTGCAGTTTAGTAAAATGATTTTTTTGCAGATTAATGCCTCAGACTTTTGTTTTGTTAAACAGCTCCTTCATTCAGCGTCTCATTCCAAGATGGACACTTTCAGTTTGTTTGCTGAAAGGAAAGCTGATATTAGCAGATTTCCTCTATTGTTGTTGATTAAACTAGCATATGCTAAGCTAATTAAACTAGCTTGGTTTTTGTAAACAGGTTTTCTGAATACTTTTTGTGTGTGTGTTAAATGGATAACACGCGCACACACACACACACACACACACACACACACACACACACACACACACACACACACACACACACACACACACACACACACACACACACACACACACACACACACACACACACACACACACACACACACACACACACACACACACACACACACACACACACACACCGTTGACATTATAGTTGACCTCTCCAGCGTAGTGCAGCAGTCTGAATTCATCACGGCCCATTACCTTCCTGGTTTTTCCATCAGCCAGCTTGTGACTGCAGGGAAACACACACACAAAGAAACAAACACACAAGTCAAACGACTGTAACAAGTTCAGTGATAGAAGACCAAACTGCAGCATTGCATTCGTTTTAAAGGACAGGAGCAGGACTCAGACTGACGTGACAAAGTGGGCGTGTCCTCCCACTGTGTCCTCCAGCTTCTCCAGGAAGGTGAAGTCACTGGCGTCTCCGGGTCTCAGACACTCCTCGTCCTGTGAGAGGAGGACAGAAAGAGCAGAGAGGGTTCATTGTCTTACTTTATTACATGTTGGCTACTATACTATGGCTGTGCAACAACACTGATACAGCAACGTTTTATGTTTTCATGATACTGCATCAACACATTAACCAGATGTGTTTTTAATCCTCTTAAATTCCTGTAATCACAAAGATGTCTCTGTGGCTCCTTCAGCCTAAAGCTGCTGCGAGCAATTGAGAGAACAGAATCAAACATAAACTCAAAACCACCGGCTACATATGACTATTGAACGCACAATGCAGTATGTGCTACAGCCTCCACTTACAGTCTGAAAAAAGCTGAGAAGTGATTGATTTTAATTTTCAAGATTTTAAGAATCCAAAAAGATAATTGGTGGTATCTTTGTGTGGTTTGGTCTGGTTGTGATTATTTCCTTTGTTACGATGGCCATTGCTGTAAGTCATTTCGATCTTTGACCCGGTGCTTTGCATTGTGGGAAACAGATCGGGAGAAGACTGGTCTGATGTATACTGTAGATTTTCCCAAATTCGTATATTCAGGTATTATTGTCAAAATCAGTACGTATATATATATATACAGTATGTTTGTCTCCTCACCAGAATGGAGATGATGCCTTTGAACTTCTCCTCCACCAGGTCACAGATGATCTTGTTGTTGAAGTACTGCACCGGCTCCCACTACACACACACACACACACACACACACACACACACACACACACACACACACACACACACACACACACACACACACACACACACACACACACACACACACACACACACACACACACACACACACACACACACACACACACAAAATTACATAAAGAGAAAATGAATACAATCTCTAAAACATCTCTAAAATGTGTTTGTTGCTGCTTTTCTTCACATTGTCCTGAGTCAGCAGCTCTGTTTAAGTTGAGTCTTGAGTTCTGGTGTTAAGTCCACACTGAGCTCTACCTGTAAACTATTCAGTTTGTAACTTTGGTTATTGTTTGGTAACCATGGAGACACAGATTTCATCTTAACTTGAGCAGCATAACATCCAAACTAACCAAAATATTGTGTCAGAAATTAGTAGTTTTTTTTCTAAAGTTTATTTTGGGGGTTTTTATGTCTTTATTTTAGAGACAGGAGAAGTGGATAAAGTCTGAAATCAGGGAGAGAGAGAGTGAGGAATGACATGTGGAGAAGGAGCCTCAGGTCGGATTTGAACCCGGACAGCACTGCTTGAAGGACTTTAGCCTCTGTACATGGTGCGCACACTAACCACAAGGCTACTGGCGCCCCAGAAATACAGTTTTAAATTGACGTGACCAATCAGTGAGCAGCATTTTACTTCCTGTAGTGTTTGTTTCTGTGTTTACTCTCGTCTCTATCTGTCTCTGAAAAGACAAACAGCTGCAAATAACTTATGTTAACCAACAAACAGAACCTTTAGAAGTTGAACTTTATCTTCCAGTAGCTTGGTGGTAGCGTCGCTGTTTTCTGAATCAAATGTCTTTTCAGTAGCTGTTTAATTTATAGAGTAGTGCTCTAGCGTCCAACCAAGCTACACCAAAGTTGACGCCAGCAGATACACAAATTTGTAGTGGACAGTCTACTTCCATATAACAATGACATCACTGTCTAATCCTCGATGACCACGACCCTGCAGCTGACGAATAGCAGACAGTCTAGAGCGTAAACTTTGTCCTAAATTAGAAATTAAGTTCAAATTCGGCTACGATTGAACTCACACAGAGCTGCTCAAACAAAGAGCCTGAACATCATTTCAGACTTTTAGATACAACTACAACTATTCTAAGCTGTCTGATGACTGTAAATGTAGTTATGTGCAGAATGTCAGGCATCCTGGCACACAGCCTTGCTGCTCACCCACTTGTATGTGGACACACATGGACACTGCACAGTTAGCTTATGTGTGCACTAACTAGCACATCATTTGCACAGAGAGGTCGGAAAGAGAGAGAGAGCAGCCCACAGTCCTCATGTCAGATAATAATGGGCTCTTTGAGAGGTCAGTCCAACTGTCTCCCACAACCTGCGTCCTGACCAGTGCATTTTTTACCAGACCTAAGACAACAGGCCCTTGTTACAAACACACACACTGTAACAAAAAACAAACATAAAAGTGAAGAATGTAAATGCAGTGGAGTTGTGTTATATCGGCGCTATAGTAAAAAGGGTGTTACAATAATCCAGCTGTGAGGAAATAAAAGCCTGAAGAACTTTTTCTGTGTTGTTAAAAGATAAATATGACATGATCTCCGAGACGTTTCCCAACAGACTCCTCTTTTGTGATGCCATTTTTTTAAGCACCACTTAAGATTTTTTACTGTGAATAAATTAAAGGCATCATTATTCTGACAGTTTAATGAAGCATCCTCTATAATTAGAGCACTTATTGTAAATCACAGTAAGTGAAAGCCTCCACAGTGATTCATTATTATAACCCATTTCAAGATGGAAAACACAACTGCAGCTACAATGACTTCAAGAGCTTTTATTAAGCCTAAACTGACTGAAGGAGGAGAGACGAGCAGGTTAAGAAAGGTGACGAGTTTCAGAAGTGCAGGATTAAAGGTTAACAGTCACTGACAGTGAAACTATAAAAAAAACTTTCTAGAATCTAGTTTGTATTAATATCTGTTAACTATATTTGTCTGTGGCACTCATAGTTAAGTATAAGAATGATTAAATATCCGACTCTGTGTTGCATGAGAGCGAGAGTGTGGATTTGAAGTGTCTAAAAATGTAAATTCTGGTTGCCGTTTTTGTTTTGGATTTTGAAAATTTCAAAAAAAAATCAGAGAATCGAAAAAGACCAAGTACTTTGAGTTTTCTGTTGTATCGTTCATCACAAGAAGTACACTGATTTACACAAGTTGGAGTGCATGGAGGAGAGCTTGTTGACGGTTATCGTCTCTCACCCTCTGTCACATTAAAAACTTTTGACTGTATCAGCAGATGCACTGATGTTAATTAAACTGTGGAGTGGGTGTGCTGTTGTGCATCCTGTGTGTGTGGAACAAACTCAGTAGAAATGCACTGTGGACTCTCTGATGTCTGCCCCTCCTTCTAAAGCTTCCTCCAAATATCAGGAACATACTGCACCAGACTTAGACTTTAGACCAGGTTTTAGTTGGTCTAAGGTGCGTCCTCATGAAAGGACCGCACCTCATTTGAGGCCAACACACTCCTGGGGCGCTGATAAGGAAACAAGCTTATTGCTATTTACACAGTTTGAGTGCTGGAGGAACAAAAAGGGTGTGTTAACATGAGCGAAACAAAGAGGAGAGAAAGTAAAGGATGTCTGACCGTGATGCCTTCAGCCTCGTACTCCTCCTGCTCCGACTTGAGGTGAGCTCGATGAAGAGCTGCTGCAGCTTCTCGTTACAGTAGTTGATGCAGAACTGCTCAAAGCTGAAACACACAACAATAAACACAAGGTCTGAATGAAAAGAAGACAAAGCACACTGTTACAAAAATAACGTCATTTCTTAAATAATTCAGACGCTCAGTTCATTTTCATTTAAAGAAAGTGCAGCAACATTTATATCTCCATTTAATTGTTCTTCTGTCCCTGTCTCTCTACAGTAGGAGGGGATATCCCCCTTCAGCTATTTAAATTTCTAAGTGGAGCGAGATGGTCACAGTAAGCTTCATGACAAGACTCAAGTAAAACTATATTAAGAGTTACAGGAATTAAAAGCTACTTAAAGCTGTCTAACACTGTAAAACAAAACAATCACACTTTTACTCCATCTTATTTCAGTCAGCCTCCTATGAAATCTTAAGCGTGACGTTGTGGAGAGTCGATGTGGGATAGCATCAGGTTATATTCAAGTGATGACCATTATATTCTGCCTGTCAAACTTTACCTGTTGTGCTGGAAGACCTCAAAGCCGTAGATGTCCAGCAGCCCGATGACAGAGTAATTCTTGACAGATCATCCTGTTAGAAAAAATAAAAATATATACTTAGAAGAGGACACATTTAACTTATGGATAAAGATTTGACCTAAAAATCATAATTTCAGAATGAAATAGAGGAATTATATTAAATATGTCTCCCAGTCACTCAGTAATAATGTATGTTTAAATAAATAGCTGACACAGTAAGAAGACGATGTTTTGATCATATATTAAGTCATGTTGGGTCATGTTCTTCTTGTGGATATATAAATGTCCACAAGGTGGAGCTGTGCTGCAAAAGATGAAATTTGAACAGGATCTGATTGCACAACAGTGTTGGATTAAAAATTAGCTAAATATTTGTCACCTGTATTTCATGCGCCAGGTGTATACTGTAGTGTAGGAATGAGTTCATGAAAAAAGACAAACAAACCCCTGCACAAATTCATTTAATTTGGAAAATTGCAGGAGTTTGTCCGGATTTTCATTTTGATGGAATCATTCCTCTACCAAACCATTTTAAATCAAAGAATTGTTCTCATGTTTATATCCTGGTTAAAAAACAGCCTGATACTTAAATTAGGGTAAGCAGAAACATACACTATAGTGGAATAAAATATCATTTGAGTGTTCAGATTTATATTGGAGGTTTCTAACAGCATTACTGAAAGGATGCTAGAGAGATAATCCTTTTGTTAAGCAGTAAAACTTAAATAAAAAACAGAAACAGACATTAATCCCTCTCTTTAAATCATTTTTTTTATCAAAAAGGCTCCTTTCAAATAGGCAATCATTTACTTTGAAGAACATGTAAGATGTTTGTGTGTCACATAAAAACAAAGCAACAAAAAACTGGTCGAGCAGTTGTAGACGAGCAGAAAGATGGCAAAACAAACATAGACTTTTAGTGCAGCCACTTTGATTGGATAAACTATGCTACAGGGTTATGGTGTAACCCAGTAACTCACATATTTAGAGCACCGAGTTAAGGCGGTTTGCACAGCAAGGCTAAATAAAACAATACGCACGGTCCTGTACTGCAGGGAAAGCATCACTTACACCGCCTTCAGGATGAAAGGCTCCACAGTACGGACAGATTTATGTATCTTCAGAAAGAGTTTGGGAACCACTAGTGTAACCGTTACAGCTTACTGAGGCTGCTTGATGAATAAACCTACTTCTAAAGCATTATTCCTTAAAAGTTATTTAAACCCCAAGATTTGTAAAAATAAGAACTAGGTTACAAAATACAGGAATTCCCCTTTGATTAAAAAAAAACATCCTTTATGAGAACTTTGCAAGCTTGTTTTGTGTTTCCAAAAAAGTTCAGCAATCAGAGAAAAGTGTTTTGAACGGACTGCTGTGCACACCAATACACAAAAAAACTCAAAATATCTGTAGTATACATGCTAGGCCAGTAGTTGGCGGTGTGGTCTTGTAATGAAACAACATGTGCATATACTCTTTTTTTTCTACAAGCGAGCGGTGTAAACAAACAAAATTGCTAACAAACAAATGTTTGAGTTTAGGGATGTGGGGTTGCTACTCCGTGTGACTCTAAACTGAAAAGCAAGTACATTTCAAGTCGACTTGGAGTATGCCAGAACTAGTACTACGACATCCAACATTGTTGTTGTCCACCTGCTTGTTCATGGCTACTGACAGGAACCAAATGAGCATATCTACGTTCAGAGGAACTCTGCATATTGCCATGTACATGACGACAGAGACGGGGCCATTTTCAAAAGATTGCACTCTGGAAACTGTTTTCAAAACATTAAATTTCATGCACAAAACATGTTGCATTGTGAACAAACACCAAAACACATGGTTGCTGTCTTTAGCAGAAAATTGTTGTGTTAAACAGGGAGTGAGAGTACCGTGTATGTCAGTGAAGCGTTGATCTTGTTAACCAGCCAGGTGAATGTGCGTCCGTACACTGCCTTAGACAAAGCATCCCGAGCTGATGACGCTTGCTCCAGGTCAGCGGGCTCATCAGCTGATGGGGGAAAAGACACACACACACACACACAGACACACACAAAGACAACCAAAGACACAAACACAGAAACAAAAACATGCACACGCAAGAAGGACGAGGACAGAGAGATAATAACAGTGTTACACAGCAGCAACAGTCAGACAAGTTAGAATATCATTAAAGTGGAGCAGACATTACACAGACAGGAAAGGTTTGTTAACAAATGCTTATCACACACTTGTTTGACAATGAGAGTTTGTGTCCAGACTAACCTCCTCCCCTTGGCGATTATCTTCTTGTGTGTGAGTGCCTCTGTCAGCACCGACCCGTTCACCTAACAACTGAAGAGCACAACAACTTTAGCACAAATCACAACCAGCCTCAACAAAGAAACGTGAACGACCTCCAGTCGAGTAAACAGACACCAAAGACAGTGTCAGACTTCAAGCAGCTCATGAGACGGGGATCTGTCAGATGATGAATAATGAGATAATAAGAAATGTGTTGTATCCAAAGTATATTCATTTACACCGCTGAAAATATTAAAGGGACACTTGATCGTCACATATAACACCAGGACAGTTGAACTTCAGGGATATCAATCTGCTAAAACAAGATAACCCCCCCAAAAGGGAGTGGTCTTACACGTGGTGGTTACAGACAGTTTATCTCTATCCTCATCATGACTGATTCTTTTCTAGATTCTTTTCTAGTTTTGTGTTCTGCTACAGTCCTTATCACTACGGTAGCATGAGACGCTACCTGCAGCCCAATCAGGTTGCACAGGTAGTCCAGCTCCTCCAGAATGTCACAGAGAGAGACCAACAGACCAGCAGTTACATAAGGAGAGCTGGACTGGCTGTAGGAGGGCATCAACCCAGAGGCAGGACCGCTATGTGCTCCTTTTTGTAAGG